ACATTATTTCCAGAATTATCATCTTTAGGATTATATATCATTTAATCTCCAACAGTTTTAATTAACCAATTTGTTTAATAAAATGGTTCAAGTGGACGATCTTCAGCAATACCTTTTAATCTTGTTGTTTCACTATCAAGATCTGGATTAGCTTCAAGTAAAGCATTTTTAGCTTCTTCAGATAATCCATCTGTATATAATGTTATTCTTCCTTATTTTAAAATTTATGCAGGAACATGAACCCAACTATCTGGATTTTACAATTCAGCAAATTCAGGGATTTTGAATTCTTCTACAAATTCCAATTCCTTTGCTAAATAAATAATTTTATTAATTTACGATTATCCTCTTTTTATTGATAAAGTCCTTTTGGTGCAATTAAATTAGAATGTAAAATCCTTACTAATTATGCTTTTAAATAATGCTTTTCTTTTCCAGGAAAAGGAGGATAAGTTTTTAATTCTTGATTCAAATTTCCTGTACAAACATATTTAATTTCTCTAGCTACTTTAATTTATTCTGGTGTTACTAGTGGTAACTCATTCCAATCAGTCAATACTATTGATTAATATATGAAATACTATCATTAGTAACCCAGAATGTATAATAATTTACACCATCTCCTCTAGGTTCAGCATTTGGTGCTAAATAATCTGTAGGTAGTTTAGGTACTACACCTCTGGCAACATAATAATCAGAATTTCTACAAAGTATTTTTCCAAAAAATGTCATTTCAGTTGCATTTGTTTCAATCTGAAAATAGATATTCATATTTACACTTAATTATTTTATACTTAATTGGATCTAGTAGGTTTCTTCCTCTCCAAAACCATAACCTGCAGCTTCCAACAATCTTGCAGATGCAACAAAGTCTTATAAAATAGTAGGCATTTATGCAACTGTTTAACCCTACAATTCAATAGCCATTATACTTTTAGTAATTGTGAAACTCTCTTTACCCAATCAGCAAATTCAGGGATTTTATCTTTAAGATTATTTACTTCACTTTCAGATGACAATTTTTTGAAAAGAAATCTATTTTTTTTTGTAAAATCTGATAAGAGTTCGATTGAGTTCATATCCTTATGATTGCTTTACAAGACTTCATTAATGAAGCTATTGATATGATCAAAAAGGGTGACACCATTGACATCTGTGTGAGATTTCAAAACCTACGATAATTTACTCATTAATATTATTATAATAAAATTTCATATCAGTTATTTAAATCGTCAAAATAAGAATGCTT